TTGCCGATCCTGTGAAAGACCAGCTCATCTCTCATTTTGCTGCGGAGCTTTAGCAGCGAGAGACGAGCAGTGAGGAGTAAAACTTGAGTATTATGAGAAATAAAAGGACACGGCGAAAAGGGGAGCTAAAAGGTGACCGCCACCCGGCCGCAGCGAGCAGGGTTCGAACCTGCGCGGGGAGACCCCATTGGATTTCAAGTCCAACGCCTTAACCACTCGGCCATCGCTGCTGCTGGCGGTAGTGCGGCCCGGCTGCCTCCTTATAGGGCGTTCCGCCACCGGAGGCCACGCCCCCAGCCCGGCGGAGCCAATGGGGGCCTCGGGCTCCGCTCGGCGCCCCCGGCTGAGGGAGCCGCCGCCATGGCGGCCGCGCCGCGGAGGGACTGCGGAACCTCCGTGTGCTTTGGAGCTTTCCAGCCTGAAACCTAAAGGCTGTGTCTGCTCCCGAGGGTTCAATGTGCGCACCTGAACGAGACAGAGAGAGGGCAGCCGGGAACTGCGACAAAATACAGTAACGATTAGGCATTGCGTTAGCTCCCGCAGAGATGTTCATTTTTTCTCGGTTTTGCGGTTTCTTTCAGTTATTACAAAATGCCCCTATCATATGGCTCTTCTATGTAATTTAATTAACTGTAGATAATATATATTTTTTTACCTTAGCAACAGTTAATTTTGCCAGCAGTAGTGCAGTGAAAATCTAATTTGATTTCCTACCTGTGCTGCAATGGGTAAAAATAATCATTTTACCTCATTTTCCCTCCAACAGTCAGAGCTCTTGTTAATAGTCTTTTATAGCTAGAGTGATGTTGATAACTGTGCTTCCCTGCCTCCATTTTTTTTGGTATGAATTATTGATCAGGAAGCACTCATGATAAATCTTTAACTTGCTTCAGTACCAAAAATATTGCTGAATTAGTAAATATCTTAAAATAGGCTCATGAAAATAGTCTTTTAGGTCTTTTCTCTGGAAACCTGACCTGGGTAACGTAGAGAAGAGGCAGATATTAGAAAGCACAAGACGTATCCATAGTTTAAAGGAGTTTAAAAGTGTGGAAAAAAAGGTAGTACCTTCACTACAGTATATAATAGCTGATGGGAACTTTTTAAAGAAGTGGAGACTGTCAGATCATGTTTGCTATTGGGAAAACAAGTATTTGTCATGTCTCAGTGCCAGAAAAGACTCGTTGGGGATTTTAGTACAAAGCTGGTGCTGCTTTTATTTATTTATTTTTTTAAGAATTTACTTGAGGACAAGGAGCAAAGCTGTTTCCTTCTGCATTGATGGATGTGCTGCACGATTAATTTTCTTTACAGAAAACAGACTTTTTGAAATCTGTGTATGGGTAATATTTTAGGAAGATCTTAGACAATGCAAAAGGAAGCCAAATTATAAAAACACACCAAAGTTCAGTTTTGGTAAAACCCGTTTGAGTAAGGGTTTTAGTTCTATCTGAAGGAATTGAACCACAACTGTTTTGTGTGTGTGTGTGTGTGTGTGTGTGTGTGTGTGGTGCTTTTTTTGGGTGGGGGGTGGGTGTTTGTTTCTGTTTTTTTTTTTTTTTTTTTTTTTTTTTTTTTTTTTTTTTTTTTTTTTTTTTTTTTTTTTTTTTTTTTTTTTTTTTTTTTTTTTTTTTTTTTTTTTTTTTTTTTTTTTTTTTTTTTTTTTTTTTTTTTTTTTTTTTTTTTTTTTTTTTTTTTTTTTTTTTTTTTTTTTTTTTTTTTAAATGAATACCTTTTGGCACTTAAAGTTGTTTAATAACCTGGAGATCCGTGCAATATTTGGAGTGTTACCATCTCAGTCTTTTATGTTATTTGCACAAAGTTATTTTACTCAGAAAAGATAAGGAGAAAACTTTTAAATGCTCTACATCTTGAATTTTGCCCACTTATTAAGGACAGTTGCTAAGAGCGAAAAATTTATCTTATCTATATGAAACATAAAATATGCCTTTTCTGCTTTTCCAGATTCCTTGTTCTGTTATTCTCATTGAAGGAACCTGGAGGGGAAGGAATCCATTATGTTACTGGAAGCCATACATTTAAAATGTCCTTAAAGTCTAACTTAATATATTCTTGTTTTGGGCTACATAACCAGTTTTTGCTTTTAATTCTAGTGAAGTAGCACAAAGAAGTGCTTAGTTCTCTGAGAACTCTAGACAATTTTTCCCTGTGTTTTTTGAAAGGAAGGTCTTTTTAAAACACTCTCTTTCTTGATTGAAGTGTTAAATACATTTTTTAGTGAAGAATTTTTTATAGCTTTTTTTTGTCGTTGTTGTTTTTAGGACAATTCTTCTGTAAGCTGAGAAAATATCAAGATTGGTATTATCTACAGAGAGGTTTTGAGCTGCTTAGGGTAAATGTTCAAGAGAAAATGAATTATTGTTTTGTTTCTAATTAATGTGGGTTTGAGAGCAAGCAAAATCAATGGGAATGGTGTAATTAATGTCTGTCCCACACAGATATTCACCTCACCAGAGGTCTCTTGCTGTTTGACTTACCTTGTGATAGCTGCCTGAAACTATAATAGCACAATTCCTTTGTCTCAGGAATGAAGTTAATTAGCATCACTACTAAACTATGGGCTTGTGTTTTGGAGGTTTTTTTGGATTTAATCTCCTTGTCCAGATGTGTTTTGAATCCACAGAAAATTATGCTGAAAAGACAGTTGTATTCTGGGGCCATGCAAAATGCAGAAAAGCCAAATAAGACACAACCAAAATAAATGACAGTGTGGTCTCAGTAACAAAGGACTAATTCACTGGAAAGAAAGAGCCAGGGCTGCCTGTCTGTGCCCCCAGGGCGGGGACCACTGGGGACAGCACGGCAGGTCACCCTGTCCTCCCATACACACACTGGAATGTCTCACTTCTGTGGTTTGAATTTAGGAGCCTTTATTTCGTAGTAGAACTAAGAAGAAACCTGTTTGGGTTTTTTTTTCCCTTTAAATGGTAATTACCTTTTTTTTACGTTCACATGAATCTGGGACCCGGGATAAACGTGCAATTTCAGTAAAACGTAATAAATCGTGGGAGTTGGCGGCGAGCTGTGTAGAAGGCACGCGGTGTGTTATGTGTAACCCATGGAACTGAACGTGGAAAAAAAATTGGCGTCTGTCTCTCCTTGGGAAAAGTTGTTACTTGAGCAACTCTGGAGTGACCTCCAGCGTTCTTTGTGCAGGCTGCAAGTAGAGAGAGCTCCCAGTACATCTTGCAGGTACCCCGTGCGAAAGGTGCAGCTTTAAGTATTTTGGTACGCCAATCTTTGAAGATGAGCAGTGATCCAAAAGGGCTTGCAGCTTAAAGTCCTGGATACTGAGCTAGGGAAACTCAACAATATCTAAAAAAGACACTAAAACTCAGACATACAAGCCTAGAGTAAAACACTGAGATTTCTGAACTGCAATAATGTCTGTTGCCAAGTGCTGGAGAACCTCTGCCTGTGCAAGATTTAATTAATAAAGCATGCTATCTACTGTACATAATCCTATTTTTTAAGACCTTAAAGTCTGAGATACTTGGCTGCCTTTAAGAGACTGAGGCAGCTTGGGTGGGGATAGAGCTTCCTAATCTGCGTGGGTCCTTCCCCACACATCAGAGGAAGATCCTTGTCCCCAATGGGCACATCAGCTTACCTATTACAGAAATTCTGCAGGAATACTGTCCTGTAGCCGTTAAGCAGCCCTGAAGATGATTACATATTAGACTAAAAGCCTAACTAAAGCATTTGGCATGTCACAGGCTGAAGTTAATCGTGTATATGCATAAACATTGCTAATTTGCATACAGTGATACTGTAAGAAGATCAGTTAAGTATCAGAATTCATGCATATAAAATTGCTTTATGAATGTATTGTTCCAGAATTTTTGAACCTATTGGCACCTGTCTCTAAATGGAAATAGAAATTACAGCCTTCATGACAGATTGTGGGAATTAGAAAGTTTTCATAAAATTATAATGCACTTGCTTTGGAAATGCAAAGTAAATTAAAGCCATCAATGCTTAGAATTTTGCTTCAAGGCAGTAAGAAATGTGAGGTAAACACTAAAAAAATAAAAAAAAGCTTCAGTATATCTCAAGGGCTTTTAAAGAAGATTTAACTGATCCAAAATGGGCAGGATAATAGATAAAATTTCTCAATGGGTAAGTGTATTTTGAAAGTGAATTTAACTCCCCAAGGAATCGTAAAAGTTTTATTTCTTAGTGCCTTAAAACTAGCAAGAGCTGGACATTGGAATAGATAACAGAGATAAAAGTCTGGTTTAGGACTGGTATATAAAATGATGGTGCTAGGGTAGTATTGCCTATATTTTTTTCATGTTTTTCATTTCTGCAAGTATAGAGGAGAGATACTGAAAAATCTTCAGTAGGATATGGACAGATTAACCAACCAGTAGAAAAAATGCCTAAATGATTTCTTTAGAAATATGGGACCTCAATCTTTCATTTTTCTTGCCTTTCTTGACCTTAAGTGCCATGTTAATTTTGTGATGCTTGTTCCATCCCTTCTCACCCATTTGCTCTGTGGCCTTTTATTTAACCATTCTCCATTAGCTTTACCAATTCAGTAGTTTCAACTTTTATTCCTGTTACAAATTTATGATGCTTGCAGCAGAAAAAATAGATTAGATTCTGCCCAAGCTAACAAGTGGAACAGAGCTTTGTGCTTATGGGGAACTTGGAATATTCAAGAGTAAATTTTACATCTCCCTTGAAGGATGTAAGTGAATTAATGACCCCAACAAATTATTGTATTAGAACAGCTAATATAGTCTAGCACCACTGGAATTTCATTTTAATGAAATTACAGGCTCAGTGTTACAAGATTATCAAATTATATCACTGAATTTTATTGGTGGTGTCAGTGCGGCCAAATGTTTAGTTGCATTCTTATTTTTAAGTAAATAATCCTAGTAAATTTAGGCATGTCTGCACTACTGGATTACACTCTTTTTTCTTAATACATTTTACCAGATTTATTTGCTTTTAAACAAAATGAATATAACATTTGTGTGTTTTATACACAAATTTACTACTTTTTTATGAAAACAAAGAAGGTAAGCAGATATGCTTTCAAAATCCAGCTATACTAAATATCACGTGAAAATGCTAATCTTTGCCAAAAATGCCCTCATGGTAAGTTTATTAATTAGCTTTGGCTTTCACAGGGCATCTGCAACACCATAAATAAAGAGTGACACATCATCCACCTGTACAAAACCAAAATATGCTTCTGGCTCCCATTCTATGTTGCTTGACTTTGGTCTCCTTTCTGAGCACAGATCCCTGTGTGGTTTGGAGACCCTGATTTACTTACCTTTTGTCTGCTTCAAATCTTAAAATACATTACTTTCTAAAAGTTATTGTTCATTTCATTGTATTTTGCACTTTGATAGGTTTTTCCCCATTATGGTACCAGTAACACCAGCAGGTGCATGTCGTGTTTAGCACCTCCAGATCAGCAGAAGCTTTAGAAGGTTTAGGTGAGAGAGTGGTCGGTTATGAACAAAAACCCTTCATCAGAAAATCTCCCTGTTGGTCAGTGGTTGACTTAGTCACATTTGTGCCTAAACTTTAAATCTAATTGGAGTATTGACAGGTTGCAATTATCCTGGGCAAAAGAACACTCTAATTCCTATTAAACCTCAGTGATAGATTATAGCAATAAACCTTTTCAATTCCGTATACATTGAAAATCAAACATGTACATTTTGAATTGCAAGACCTTGAATGAAGGTAAAATTCAGTAACAGAATAAATACAACTTTGACTATCCATTAGATTCAGCTTACCTTGGGTCTTTCATATAAATAACCCCCTTTTTCAAATCAAGCTTCTCCATATGCATTGTTATACAACGTTAGAACTAATTACACACCTACTGTTTACCTGTGCAGAAATCTTTGGTATACAATATTAGCACACACAGTTAGAAGTTTGATTTTTATAGATCTATATTGTTGCTGATTTCTGTCACTGAGGGGCTGCATGCAAAGAAACACAGTGACAATGTGGTTTTTTTGAGTTGTCTGAGAACCTGGTGATCTTCATGAATTAATCTTGTTTTAATCTTTGGTTATTCTCTCCTTTATAGCCTACATTTCCTCCTCAAGAAAGATATTCCTGATTAAAATTCCAAAAGATTGTTTGAAGAAACCAATCTCGAGCAATGGAGGTCTTGAGATTTGTGTCTTTGTGTGGATCCCCAGAAGAACTAAGGAGTTTAGGAACTTCAGGCACTGCTGTTTCATTTCTGACTCTTAAGATATGATATGAATAATTTTGCAATTTAAGCTTCCAAGCTGCTAATTTCATCCTGCATGGTTTCTCAGTGGTAGGGGGAATTAGTGCCTTGTCAGAAGAATGCTTTTAAAGAGTTGTCCCTTGAAATAATATTTTTTATTGTTTGTATAGAATTATAGCTTACAGATTCAATATAGTTCTGACAAGTTTCATTAAATAATAATGTACAAATGTGAAGTGTATTAACTCTGTTCAATGCTTCTATTAAAAGTAAATAATTTAGTAAAGCAATTGAAAATAGAAATGACTAATTACTGGATTTACTTTTCATAGCTGAGGGCAAATGGAGAGTCAGAATATTGGAATGCGCTTGTAGATGTGGAGACCTTGGGAAGCAATGGTGAGGAGGGAGAGGTGGACACAGCTCAAAGAAAATTTTGGTGCCAGGGAAAAACTTTAACTTGGGAAGGAATTTGTCCTCATGCAGGGTGCTGTGTATGTTCCATTTATCTGTCTGCTGAGAGGTGACTCCCTTGCTGCAAGTGATAAAATTGTCACAGCCGTGCCTGGGGGCCCCTGCAAGGGGGGTCGTGCAGGCCATAATCACAGGGGAGGAGTTTTATTTCTGAACTGTTTCAAGCTGTTGCAGCAGTGTGAAATTTTGTTAAAGAATTTTATTTGAAAATTTTCTTTGGCCTTGTTTAGTCTAAGTTATTTAAGAAAACGTGATGACATCTCTGCGGGTGGACACAGGGTTATGTCCAAGGTCCTGTTTCTGCTGTGTCCGTGCCCTGATGCCGTGCTGGGATTAGATTTAGCCACTCACCAGTAAGGAATTTTTCACTCACCTTTTGTGGGAATGAAATGCAGGTACATGAGATGCATAAAACCCTGATGTGAATCAACCAGTTTCCTTACGTGGATGATCTCAGGCCAAGACTGGGATGTACTACAGATTGTGTTCACCCAATGCAGATACAGGTACTTAGTTTGATTTGAAATTGTATTTATTTTTTGTGGTTACCTTACTTGATTTATTAAATTTTCAACATGTTTGCCAGAAGTGCTGGGTCTGACTAGGTCTAGCTCTCACTCAAAGCTGTGAAATCCTGTCCAGAGCGTTAGGGCAGAACATACAAAAGGGAACCAAAGGGAAGAAAAAAAATCACAGGAGTTAGCAAAAGAGGCTGGAAAACCTACCACCTGAAAAAAGAGTGTGTATTGGAAGGAAGGATACCTGAACAATGACATAAAATGGTTTTAAGTGAACCCCAGCGAGTAGGCTCAGTGCTTATGAACTACCTGTCACGGTGTGAAGGGAGTGGCTGGAAATGTCCCCTCAGTGCAGTGCAGGGGGAGGAGCAGGGGCTGGGGCCCCCTCAGGTGAGTCCCCCTCCCCTCAGGTCCACTCTCAGTCAAGGTGTGTTTCCCTGCCTGTCTTAAGGAATGGGGCAGGAGCCAGTGACTGTGCTCATCCTGGAATTCCAGTGGCCCATAGCAGCGGGATGGGTGGTGTTCACTTCATGTGGTGTTTCTCCTTGAGGTTCAGGGTTCTGAACAGAAAGACTTGGGCCTCCAAGGCCTTTTCTTCAGGAAAGTGAACTGGGATTCTTTTCTTTTTCAAATGTAATTTGTGCATTTAATTGACTCAATACATCTCTTCCTAGTAGTCGCAGAGGAATTTGGGTATATACAGAAGTTGATGGGCTAACAGCCGTTTACCAATTCCAAATTTCATGGTTGAAAGACCAATTTTCTATTTGTGTCCCTATCAAAACAAAGAGGATCGCTGTTCACCACAGTGATAATTTGCTTCAGAAGTGAAACACTGATATAGTTACAAAGATCTAATGATTAAAGAGGTGTAAAAGGGATAATCTGCATAACTCCATTTGAATATATGGAATTTTGCAATTAAGTGAATCGTGTTTCTGTTTGTTCTTAACTTTAACATTCGTGAACTGAGAGAGCTACGACATGCTGAGAAATACTAACTCCATTTAGTAAGATTTATACTTTCATTACATCACACAGTTTTAATACAGTACTCAGAAAATTAAATCTTTTTTAGTCCAGCATCTTTCTTCTCTGTTTATTGTTGTTCATGCTTCCTAAATTCATGAATTACAGGTGAGCAAAGAAGGACTTTTTCCAGTGGGCAAACTTGAAATATAAACCTGAGAGGAATGAATTACGGATAAAATTGTAAGTTTAATATGGCAATACCAGGTACATTTTCCTGTAATAAATTATTGTATAATCTAGGAAAGTCTGCTTAGTTTATATGAATAATATTTGATACTTTTGCCTCCATAATCCATTTTGCTGCATTCCTACTATGCAACTTTAAGTGCAGAAGACACTAATAAAATCACTTGGCCAGTGTAGGACAAAGCCCAAATGTGATTGATTTATTTTTTCTCCCTGTTCCTTGCAGCTGTTTCTGTACTGTCTTTGTGGTTTTTTTTCTTTCTCTCTTCTGAGCAGTCACAAGATGTGCTCCTTCCTTAGTTTGGTTTTTTTTTCCCCCTCCTAGTTGAGCCTCTCCAGTGCTATTAGATGGTGTCAGATTATCTCAACCTTTGGGCAGTCTGTACCCTTTTTACCTCTAAATAAACTAAAAATAGCCAAACTGCTTAGGTAGAAATTTTGCAAAATGAACATTCAGCATGACACGTGGGCCTCATACAAATTTTCAGACTGAATGGTTTAAGACTGCTAAGATCTTAAGCAGCAGAATAGAGTCTCTAGCAGAATAGATACAAATATTGACCAACCTCTGCCTTTTTGGAATTTCCAGAGGGTTTTTTTCACATGAGTGCTATTTCAAACTGCATTTCAGGATACCCAAATTTGCTATAATAGCAAATTAGCAAGACTTCACTCATGTCCTAAATGGCTCTGTTGGTGGAAAATCTTATAAATGTGGGATTATCAATCTGGAAGTATATTTTGGTTGCTTTGTGAAGGTAAATAAAGAAGACTGTTCATACAAACAGCGTGGTTTGTATGAACTTTTGTGATTTGTACAGTGCATCTCTGTTTGGGCTGGGATTTACAGTAATGGTCTTTGCTTGCTTTCTTGCCCTTTCCCTCCTCATGTTCCACCTAAACCTCCCTGATTTTTGAAGGGGTTTGTCATTTACTTCACTGATGTCTGATTCAGGATCTAAAAGCTCAGGTCAGACCATGTTTGCAAGACTAGGAATGAGCTTGGGTGTCTCTTAAGTGGTGGTTTCAGTCGGGCACTACCAGTCTGGGCGGAGTTCCAGTTGAATACTGCCCTCCCTGTTTTGACTCTTCCCCTCCTATTTTGTTTTCTCATGGACTGGGAATGACAGGCACCCATTTGCTCTCACTGTCGGTGCCTCAGGAGTCAAGCTGCATCCAGAGAGTTCTTCACAGAGCTGTTTCTAGGAGCTTTTTAGTTAAATTCTTGAATCAGAAGGTAAGATTGAAGAGGAATGTAGGCAATTTTCCATGTTAGTGGAAGTACATGAAGCTGTAAATGGAACTATAGTTGTTTAATAAAATAATAACTTCAAAATTTAATAAGAGTTAAAATGCTGGTTTTCTTACCCAACTTTCTAGAAAAAGAACTGTAAACATGATTGTTTTAAAAATGTTAATAATATTTTAAATCATCATGGTCACGTCATTTTAAGCCAGTAGCCAAAGTTGTGCCATATGTTTGCTTATTTTCCAGCCGTGAGAAACCATGTTGGAATAATGGAAAAGGAAGAATAAAATGTTGCATAGATACTGCTATTTTAAAAAAATTTCACTTACCCCCTTGCACTTTTCTGGATTTTGCATCTTGTGCCAGGAAGGTTTATGTAAATGTATATTTATCATGCCTCAGTGTGAAAATACTGACTTACTGCACGATTTTATAACTTTGTTTTTGATTTTAAAATGTAAGAGACACTTGTTTATAAGTGAGGGGTAATGGGGGACTGTTATGTTCAGTACAACATTCTGCATATTTCAAAACCTTTATGGGCACCATTTTCTGTGAAGTAAAATCCATTTGGATTTCTCCTATTAAAGACAAGAGCTGTGTTCAGAGCCAGTGAAGCCCAAAAGATATCCAACAGCAAAGAATTAGGCCTCGTGACAGCCATTTGGGAAAAATGCATATTGAACTGTTAATGTATTCTCCTATTCCAAATCAGTTGGTCGATGCTGGAAGACTAATCTACCTCGGAAGAAAGTTTGGGGCTTTGTGTCTTTTCCTTTACGGTTGCTCTTCACCCAAATGATTGAGTTGAAATGAGAGCCAAGGTCAAAATGGCAGGAATGTCTTCAGTCTGTATTGCTGAAGCAATTTCACCAGAAATGCTGTATCAGCTACATGTAGAGGTTTTTTCTGAGCCAAGTTTTGATGTGAAACTGGTTGTCTGAGTTGATAAAGGTAATAGGGTGCCATGCACCGGAAACCCCATCAGAGGAGGAAATGTGCATGTCAAGGTCTTTTCATTTATTCAGGCATGGCATGGTGGGATTGTGGTTTTGCTTAAATACTGTTTTTCTGTCCCTGTTTATTGCGTTATGCTTTCCTATGTGATGAGTAGCACTAGGTAGCTTGCTTGCCTGCATCCAAAGTGATTTTCAAACGTATCTCAAAATCAATATATATACTTAAAAAATATCAGTCACGTTTGCTACCCTTAGTTTTGGGATTGTTTTGTGCATATCTGTAGGCAATGGGGAAGAAAGATACTATTCTAGAATACTAAACTACTGTTTGGGTCACTGGACAAAACCAATAATGCAAACTTTTATGTCAGTTTGAAAATAGTTACATTAAATAGTACATGATGGTGAAGCGTCCTGGGGTAATGCATTGGTATGAAACAACAAAATCCACTGGCAAAATCAGCTCTACAAAGAATAAAAACCCACGTTTTTTTACCTCATAGCAACCAAGTAAGACATTTGTGAAGCAAAGCAGTAGAGCGTAATGTTGGAATAGATAATTGTCAGCAAAAAGGGGAAATGGGAAATTGCACATAACAAAAAAAATTTTAAAACCTGTTAGTGGCACATCATGGAATTTTTGTTAGCTAATTTTTTTTTTTTTAATGAGTTGAACAATATCCTATTTTTAGTGGAAGGTCAACTTGAACTTTATTTAAACAGAGTCTCTGGTTCTGAATAGAGATAGGAACACTTTAAATGTGATAACAAAAGGGAGGGATTGGAGCCAGACCTTCTTGACCTATCCTTAGGAGCCCAGGATAGCCATCCATGTAAGAACTGTGTGCCACTTAAATAGAGAGGTGTCCTTGTTCTGGGCTCAAAGTGCATGCAGTGAAAATAGCACTGACACTCATGTGAAAGGAATTTTTTTCTTTAAGAATTTGAAACAGATCCAAAAAATGTTTGTTTGTAGTTTTTTTTTAATAAAGTAAATATTTTTTCAGTACCTTAAATATTACAGGTGTAGTTCCAAGACCAAAAACTTGCTCCTTGCAAAAATGTACCTGGAAGAAATGTTACCAATGTAAGGTTCTTAAAGTGTTTATTAACTAAGCAGTATTCTTTTCATTCTGCTGTCACTCACAGTGTTGTACATCCACTAGATCTCCACTGAGCAGGGCAATGATTGAGTTTACTGGGAATGTAGTGAGACTGTTGTTCCCAAGTTCCTGTGGTTACATTTCAGAGGAGAAGAGTTTTCTCGCTGTGGCTGTAGGCTTAGCACCATAACAGACTTTTTTTGGATAGCTGTTGGTTGAAAAGCAGTCTGGCATGCCAGTGCAAAGCCAAAAACTGTGTAGCTGGTCAGGCTGTAGGATTCACACTTCTGCTGGAGTGGCTCCTAGAATTTGTCGGTGTGTTGCAGCTGGACGTGTCTGCACTCACCAAAGGCAGGAATTCTGCTAGTGTGTTTAAGGGACATGAAGGTGTTAGCTGGCCTAGGAATAATAATATGAGTATCTGGGTAACCCTAACATAAGAGTATGGAAGAAGATGTTGTATACTTTAGATTTTTAGTGTGAATTATATTTGGAAATGTTTTACTCTCCTTAGCCTGATTATTGGCCTTAGTTAAAGAAAGTGGGATAAGGTGCTCCAGTGAGTAATATGGTTTTATCCCAGCACTCTGTCCTTGATTCTGCCACTGGCATTCTCTGTGATCCTGGGTAAATAATTTTCCCTTTGTGATTCTATTTTCTTATGTGATATTGAAACACAGCTTCTGCTTTGATGGAATGCACCGTAGGAAAACTAGGCCTGAGTGTTAAACAAGGAAAAGAGAGAATGTTCTGAATGTTATAACCTCTGGGAAAAAATCTTATTTTTTTGTCTCACTAGATATTGGAAAGTTTCCATGAGACAAGTTTGTTGAGGTGTAATGCTTTCTCCCATATCAAATGTTATTTTTCCATAAACCATAATTAAACTTTTTCATGCCATGAGATTAGTCATGTGGATTCTCCAGTATCCATCCAGAACTAGGCTCATGCTGCTTTCTTTTCCTTGGTAGCTTGATTTTAAGGGAAGATGGGTGACACTATTTATGCTGAGAACTGTGTTGAAGAACTTGGTGGAAATCCTATGTTCTTGGGAATTTCAGCTGCTTTTCAGATGTGGATTGAGAAGGTAGACACAGGCAGAAGTGAAAGGGAGTATAAAAAGAAGTGCTGTAGTTTTTAAAGTTGTTTTCCAGGTACTTCACTGCAAATATACACCTAAATGCAAAGCCTGTTTAAATAAAGTAGCTTTAAGTTACTAAATATTATTAATGGATCTGAATCTTGTCACCTTCTTCAATTTTGCAGCTTGTCTTTCCTTTGTGATGTCTGTGCATTAACATGGGCATAACATGCATGTTTCTTGTTGCCAGTGGTAAGAAGTAAGAAAGTCTGAGATGGTTGGAGGGTAACCTGACAGCTTTGTCTGGAAATCTGAATAATTTGGCAGGTGCATTGTAGGTTTTCCCTGGTATTAAATGCACCAGATCATTCCCAGGTGTTGGAGATACTGCTCCGTTCTGAGCCTTGGTCTGGCCCACAAAGTACAGCAGGTCTTCAAGCAAAAGAATTGTATTGGGAACAGAACTAGAACATTTTAGCATTCTGAATATCTTATATGTCAGCTAGAGAATTAAAGAGAAATACAGCAATTATTTTTGTGGCTTCTCTGAAGTCTGATTTGCACTGGCTATACTGGCTCTGTAGCAAAAAGACTAACAAATTCTATTCCCAGAGTGCTATTGATACTGATTGACTAAACTGTATAAGAAATATTGTAATTAGGAACAAATAATAAAAAACATTCTATTACATATTTTTCACTTCTTGGAAATCCTCCGGTGCCCTCTGTGTGTGTGTCTTGTTAAAAAGCAAATCCAGACTACTTTGTCTTAACAATTTTTTCTAGTCTTCCCTGTTTTTCAGAAGCCAATAGGCCTATATGCATTTTGTGAGATTGATAAGTTAATATATTTTATGTCATTATAGAGTACCACACAATAGAAAAAAACAACAGAGAAAACAGATTTGGTGCCAAGTTACTGGGGGAAAGCCTTATGAATCCCTTTGCTGTCCAGCTCAGGAGTCTGAGAGTGAGTCATTGCCAGCAGACAGAAGTTGGCATACAACCAGAATATAGGGGATAACAGTGGCTATGCTAAAAATTCCAAGAAGGATCATTAGAAGTATGACACGTTTCATGTCATCTAATTATTCAAAAGCTTTTGAACTCTTATTTTTGTTGACATACTTGTGCCCTAGGATATAGCTTTAAGGATGCCCATCCCCCTGCCAGCCCTCCAGCAGCCACTGTGTCCTGTCAGTCATCCTGAAATACACTGGAGAGCTTGTCAGGCAGTCCCTTGCAGATGCCTCAGAAGCCCCATAGTGAGCCACAGCAGTTGCACTGAAGTTCCTAACCCAAGGAAATTACGTAGTTGCCTTAGTGCTGAATATGGACCATGTGTTTTCTAGGATAGGTGAGTGATGTGCTGTTGGCTTTTTAATGTTCTAGCAGGAAATGGATTCTAAAGTTAAGATTTTCTAAGTTATGCAGAATGTCTTTGGCTTTGCTGTCTGACACTTTATCTATAGGCAGATAGTTTAAAAGCTGCAGGTGCTGCGTTCACATTGTTCTGCAGGTGGATACAGGCTCTGGCTGTTTTTCCAGCGTCTTCGTCCATGTCTGATGAAAAGACAAAATCCTGCTGATGCTGAAGTTTGTAGCACTCGGTAGGAGCGTGCAGGTGGTTACTTTTCTGGCTGTTCTGGGACACAACTGTATCTTGTGACCCATGCTTAACATCCTAAGTGTTGCAAGAGCTGCCAGTCTCCAG